TGTGTGTAAAGGGAGCCTTGTGTAAATTCCGGTGTGTGTGTGTGTGTGTGTAAAGGGAGCCTTGTGTAAATTCCGGTGTGTGTGTGTGTGTGTGTGCGTGTGTGTGTGTAAAGGGAGCCTTGTATGAATTCCGGGAAAGTGTTCTGAGAGATTTAGGAGGGCAAGTTCAATTTCAGAACGAACAAAAGATAGTGGTAGTGACAGGAACAGTATAAGTAAACTTTTATGTAGTGTTTCCTATTTGCCAGTCACTAGTTCTAAGCACCTCAATTATATGACTGTTTAATCCTGACCACCATAATGAGACAACCATTTATAGAGATGAAGTAACAGGGTTAGGAAAATTAGATATCTTTCTCATTGTAACCCAAAAAATAACATTTAATAAGCATTTATATTCTAGGTACAGAACATATGAAAGACTAATTCTTTAAAAATTAAAGAAAATGGCCCGTTCTCAAAAATCTTACAGAAAGTGATAACCTTTTAAAATTATTGACATAAGACACTCAGCTAGCTAAACAGGAGAGCATGAGACTCTTAAAAAATTATATAGGAAGAGACATTGCTGAGGTTTTATGTAATTTGTCATAGTATTCAGATCAGTAAACAGCTGAGACAGGCTTTGAATTCAAAGCCATCTAACTCCTAAACCTATGTACTTCTACTCTGCAGCAAGCTACCACTGTGTGTGAGTATAGGAATAGAAAAACTTTTCAGCTGACTTCAAATACCAAACACAGGGCACCTGGTCTCTGGTTAATATTTTAGAACTGTTTTGTTTTATTTGAGAACCAGAAAGAGGAAGTATGAATTCTAGACTAAATCTTGGGTTCAAACCTCACATAAATTGAGTCTAACACAAGTATACTGCAAGACACTTAACACTGTAAAATAACTGAGCAGTTAAAAATATCTAGATGGGAGTGGCTCCCCTGGAAAAGTGGGGGATGCTAATTCTAGTTCAGTCTCTGAAGTTGAAATCCATTTCAGGTCTTCTAGGGAGGTAGGTATAACAATGTTATCCAATTAGAGCCTAGAATAAGAACCAAACCAGGAAGTCCTCTGAAGGCTGCCCTCAAGAAACAGCTTTGTCCCAAACCCACTTACTAAATGCAGTATGTATTAGGGAAAATGTGTTGATAGAATCTATTGCTGTTTACCTGATAAGGGACAAGACAGTAAAGATGCTATAGTTTACAAGGAGAGGTTCCTTTTCACAGTAAGATATACTCAAGTGATCCAGTTTTTTTATATTTTATTCAACTTGGGAACCAAAATTACATACTTAAGAAATTTCTAAGGTGTGAAGGTGTAGCAGGGTTCCACTTGGTCACCTCATAACATTATCCTATATTTGTTAAGCTATGTCTTAGTCCAAACAATTAACCAGGGATAAATGATGTTTAAAGAAATAGTTAATCGCTGAGCTTTTGAAAAATGAATCCAAAATTGTGTTTTCAACATGGTTAAAAATACCCAAACTTCATTATCATTATGAACATATAACAGATTATTTTAACAGATGAAGATACTTGGTTTGCAATGAAAACCAGATTCAGCGAAATCAGTAGAAAAACACAGAATCAATTAAAGATGGTTCTTTGCCAAATTTCCCCCAATGGCATTCCCTACCCTTAATCATAAAAGAAAATCTACATTTTAAAGTATAATAAAAGTCATAAAGAAACAATTCTCAGAATTCTAACTTTTCAAAGTTGCACAAATTTACATGTAAAGTTTTCTTTAGAACTCTAAAATGTATTGTCTTATCTTTATGTTTATCATTATGTTTTAATGTTTCAAAATTTTCACCTGTGGTAAAAAAACACAAAGTATAAAATTTACCATGGTTAAGTTCAATAATGTTAAATATATTGCATTGTGCAACAGTTCTCCAGAGCTTACCCATTTTGCAAAACTGAAACTGCTATTTTAAATAGCTAAATACTTTAAAACAATAAGGTACAGCATCTAGAATGCAAAACATAGTCAAATCAAAACCCCTTATTCAGACATTATTTGAACAGAGGCGAGGTGATAATCTGACACTTTTTAAGCAATGGTTTTCTTCATATGGTGAGTAAAGTTGTGTTTTTTTAATTAGAATAACTTAAGGTCAAGAACATCTTGTTCATGTTTACATCAACAGTATCTACCAATATAAAGCATTCAATAAACACAGCCAACAGAATCAAAGAAAATTGTTTAAACACAAAGTTTCATAACCTTATAATTCAATTTATTCTTACCTATTCAATGCATTGGTTCCCCAAGAATCATTACCAAGAATATTGTTAGCCTATATTTAGACTTTTTTTTTTTAAAAGAAGTGCTATAAATCCAGGTTTCAAATTTTCAGTTGACTGTTTCACCTAATACTCAGTTTACATCAATATTATGTAAAGGTAAGTTTTCTACTTACCATATAGTTACCAAATGCATGATCAAACATTTCCAGTACTTGATTCCTAATTTAAAAAAGCAGAAATGGAAAAGAAAATAAGTATATTCTATGTAAAGTCTTTCAGAAAGTTAATGCATCTTCATAAAAATAAACCAATAAAAAAATAAAAGAAAAATTTAGTTAGAAAGGGAAAAAGCAGGGTTAGGAAATACATCATTGTTAGTAAACAAGCTTTTATGAGTCACCACACACAGAGCTGGATCAAACTTTATTTCTAGCTATTTATATACAATTCACCTTATAATATATATCTCCTAAGAAATTGACCACCAATGCTGTAAAGAATATCGATGCTGAAACATATGCGTAAGTAGCTCTTAATAAAATTACTTAACAAAACTCTACAGAGTCCTAGAAGAAAAAATTATGACACCAGTTACTGCTAAGCCTCTTTATATATAGAGAGAGAGGGGTTGGTGGGTATTTATCTTGATGTGAAGTAACAATCAAAAAACCTGCCTTTCTTCTCAAACTGACTAAAATCACACATTCAAAAGATACATTTAATGATTCTATGATGTACTCTGTTCCTTTTTTAAAAATTACCAAAGTCAAATAACTAACAGTCACCTCTAAAATGAGAAAGCTAATTAAACAAACAAAAAAAGTCTATTTTGACTAATCCCTGTTTTTCAAAATCCCCAATGTGATTATTTAAAATCAAACTACTGATCTCCACACCAGATTTACTCAGTCAAAATCTTAGTAAAAGAAAGGAATTGATCTTTCCATTAAACACTCTTAGATTTGGGTGGTTTGAGAGTTACAGGAAAAACTTTGTCAATGGTATGTCTAGACCAGGTGAAATCACTAAATAATTAGCAAAGGACAAATAGTTTAATGATCTTTATAACTTACTATTATTCCCAAAGTTCTAGTGCCTATGGTGAAGAACTGAAGTAGCAAAGAAAATGGCTGGGTATGTTTTAGTTTTTCCTCCTCTTATATTGCAGTTGTCATTTTAAAAATGGTAATCATGACAAATAAAATACTGATAAAAAAAAAAAAAGAAATAATGTCCAGATACTGGTTATAATGACTAACAAATTCAAGTACAATCAAACTTGACAACTTTTTATGAAAGCCATTCAGGAGCACGTAATCAATTAAACACGTATCTAATCACTTTGCTAAAACATTAAATCTTTATGTGTTTATATGTATGAAAGAGTACGGGCAGATTACAAATCAAGTTATATCACAAAACTATGTATCTTACAGTACCCTTCTTGATATTTATTACACTGCTGCTAATAAGGATCTCTCAAGTTAGCTTAAAAAGTGTAAATTTCCCGGCCCTCCCTGGTGGGCAGCGGGTTAAAACACAGCACTGAGAAGCTAAAGCCACTTCCCCATGAGTTTGATTCCCGCCTGCCCCGGAGGTGACCACATGGGAGGTGACCACATGGCGAGCCAGACCTCTCCTGACCCGCCCGCTGCTCCCCTCAGCAGTGTACTTCGTCAATCTGCCTGTTCTGCTCCCCACTGTCTCTGGTGAAGCCTCTCGCCACCCCTCAGCCTCTGGCCTGTACCCCAGTTCTGTATGTACAAATAAATAAATCTTTAAAAAAAAAGTGTAAATTTCCCTTTCAAGCATTGCTATCAATAAATGGAATGTGGAACTTCTTCCTTCCCGAGATGGAATTAATATAAGAATTAATACAAGTAGCAGAAATTCCTGTAACTAGTAATGGCAGTGCTTAGACAGTATACTATAGATAACACTACTTTGGACTTGTTAAACCAACTTTGCTCTTAGTTTTCAAAACTGAGTAAATCATTATTTTCCAATTCTTATATTTCTGCAGCACATGATCAGCAAATTTCAGACTATATACTTCAAAGTGGAGATATTTAATATCCAAATAAACTCTCCCTTAGACATATAAATCCTAGTGAAATCATACTTAAGTGGCAGATTACCATATTAAAATGTTTCAACAAGGTTTATGTCAACAACTGGATAAAAATGTACAGATCCTCAGTTCAAAAGTATGTCTCTTCATTTTAAAATAATTTCTACAAGTCAATTTATTTTAAAATCACTTTGCCTATCAAGCTACAAAAATTAAGTATATATTTTCATTTAATGAAGAGATAACAGTAATAAAATCTACTATTACTTTTAATATACAGAAACAGAACAAGACTATATAACCAGGTAAATCAAAATAAACTGCAAGCAATGGAGCTTTATTATCTAAATGGTTTGGGAAAGAGGTGGGGCATTTTCTCCTTTTTATCTGAATTCATTATTTGGGCTTTAAAAAAAATCAAACAGGTAAATATAAGTCAGAGTTCAGTTTCCTGAAAACTTCCAGAGGGAAGAGCAGACAAATCACTGTTATTTGTGTTTTATAGTTTTCGACTTTGTATTCTTAGGACAATCTAAATCAACTAGCCTAAATAATTGTAATTTAGGCTTTTTTGATAAGAAGCCCAATATTTGAGCTAAAATCTCAAGACAATTTGGATGAATTTTCAACATAAAATAGAGAAAGGAGAGGTGAGCAGTGGCGAATTAAGTGTTATCTTAACAGATCTAATGTTTTTCAAGTTTTACAGACATGCAACACAATAGAGCAAACATTGGTTGAGACCACACAGACATGGGTTTCAATACAGACTCCACCATTTCCTAATTCTGCGACTGAGTAAGTCTGCCATGAGTGGCAATTTTCTTATCTACAAAATGGGGATAACATTCACCTTATTCAGAAGTAGCAGATGAGAGAACATATGCAAAATTCCTCTTACAGGATAGGGTATTCAGTGAAACATTTATCAGTGACATTAAATTCAAAAAGAGAAAACAAAAGGTACTTAATTAGAATTTAACATTATTTTTCTTCCTTCAAGCCACTTTTATTGTTATTTTACTTACAAACTAATATGTTACCCCTGCAACAGTTTACATAAGGAAGCACCAACCCTCCATCCCAGTTCCATGAGGTAATCATCTTTCCATTTTTTTAAAGCATAGATATTTTTTCTGTTCAAAACAAAATTGGATGGTACTATACATATTTTACAACTTGTATTTTTTGTCTTAATATATTCCAGACCGTCTTCCAATGACCTTCTTCTTTATTACCTGAATTATTTCAGAACATGAGTGCTCCAAGAAACACTGATTCTTTCTTTTTCATCTATCTCTACATCCTTATACATAGTGTACTTATTACTGTAGGGTAGATTCCGAGATGGGAATGATGAATCAAACAGTACATACCATTAAATTTTAGAAGATACTAAGTCATAGCAATTTACACTTCCACCAAGTTTTTTTTCACCTGAACTAATTAATACTGTATCTATGCGTTCAGTATTTGCTAATCTGATGGCACAAACCAGCCATCCCCTTTTAATCTACACAGCTCACAATTATGTGCGTGAGATACTTTTCGTTTTTATTGACCATTGCATTTCCTCTTGTGTGAATGAACTCTTCATGTCCTTTTGCCCATTTGCTGCTGATTCTTGACTCTTTCCTTATAAACTTGTGGAGCACTGTAAATATAACTGATGATCTTATAAACTTTAAAGATTGATAAAACTACTTTGAGTAAATAAACAGGTATATTTAACTGCGGCTTGGGCCAATATCAAATATTATTCTGTTATGAAAATGCACAGCAAGAAAATACTACTTTGTGTAAAGTTCAAGTTCCAATGAACACCCCTTTCCCATAACAGGTGTAAACACTATTTCCTTAACTGCAGTGCGATCGGCAACATTTTCCCAGCTGGGCGCTCACCTGGTAGAGACCTCTAACCATGTCCTCAACTAAATGACAACCGGAGAACTCGAGTGCAGCGACACGGGCTGCAGCCTCTCGCGGGCCCCTGACACGGTGGCAGCGCTGACACCCGCGGCTGGCCCCACGGAACCCGCACATGTCACCGACGGCCAGGCGACACCCCCAGCTCGGGATGGCGCGTCGCGGGGGCAGCCCTCACCTTCCCGGACAGAGTCGGCCCGCCAGGGTCCGTGCACACCCACCGCCGACAGGACAGGCCATAGCACGCCTGGGTCGCAATGACAGGCGCCCCGCCTGAGGTCAGTCCCTCGAGGAAACCCACCCTGGACTGCCCAGCACCCTTACCCAAGCTTCTGCTTCTCCTCCCTACTCATGGGCGCGGCCCCCGCCGTCCACACAGATGTGGCCGCCACTAGGCAGAACGCGGCTGTCGCCGCCAGCAGGCTCCATGGTGCTCGCAGGGGCACCGGGGACCCACAGCCCGGTCCACCGGCTCCGCTCATGGCCCCGCGGTTCCGCGCACGCGCAGCGGCTACGCCCGGCCGGTGGGACACATTGCCGGACGCCGGCGGCGAGAGGGCTGCGGGCCGCGCCGAGGGCGGACTGGTGACGAGCACTTGCTGCCGCCGTCGCAGAACTGTCTCCCGAAGACACCGAGCCGTTCCCCAGCGCCAGCGCTGCCGCTGCCGCCGCCCTCCGCCCTCCGCCCTCGGCAGACGAGCGCCTCCCCCGGCTTCCGGTGTCGTAGTCTAGGAAACCGCCTCCCCCACGCTACTTCCGGGTGGGGCTCCGGACGTGGAGCCTCATAACCAACTGGGACTAGGCTGGCGGGAGGCGGGCTCCGGTGACCAGAGAGGGCATTGGCTGGGAGAAGTGAGACGTGGACAAAAGGCGGGACGGGGGCGGGACTCTCATTCCGGCTCTTCCCGGACCCGTGAACTTGCCTCCTGAAGACTACCAGTTCCGGCATGCCCTGCAATCTGACTCCGCCCTTCCCGCTCCCCGCCCCCCCAGAGCGCTGCACCCTGGGACGTGTGGTCCTCCGAGGACCACTGGTGGATCCCGGGCTCCGACCTCTCTGGCACCGTGCAGCCAGCCTTTCCTCTTAGGGCAGCCAAACACCGGGCATCCGCCAGCATGTTTCCTCCTCCTGCGAATGATATTTCCCTTATGAGTACAGAAAGAGGCTCACTCGTCCCCACGCCATAGGGAATAGTGTTTATTAGGCTTCTGCCCTGGGGAGACTGCAAAAGCAATAACAGCAAAATGAATTAAGGCTTTGATGGGACTATACTGAGAGTTTTATTAGCAGTCTCTCATGCATTCATCAACTCTAGTAGGTAAGTACCATCATCCTCATTTTGAAAACGAGGAAACGAGGCCTGAAAAGTTAGGTAGCATGTCTGTCACTAACCTCTGGGTTAGATTACCACAAGCCTCGGACTGTGACCACTACGCAGCCCCTCCAGGGTGAGGAATGTACTGGAGACCTTCTGCATGGTTAACTATAGTTTAATAATTCATTGTCAGGAGAGCAATGTTAGCTGCAAGGAAAGTTTAATGAAGGACATTGAACCTTGCAGTTTGCTTTTAGTGATGCCCAAGTTAACCATTAGTACAACGACACATTGTTTTTCTTGTGTGACAATTCTGTAGATAGGTGCGGAATTTCCGAGCTGACGTGACCTCTCTGACTGCATGCAGTAAGTTGCTTACTCCTACCATCTGGAATATTCCTCTCAGTCTGGAAACTTTTCTTCTTCCTAGACTTATATCACCTTGCTTCCTTTGCTTTCCTTGGGGGGCGAAAAAAAAAAAAAAAATCGACCAGTCACGTGACATCTATGACTCATCTTTCTTCAATTCCCCTTTTTTTTAAAATGCAAATGTTCTTCCATTTTAAGGTTTCCTTTTTTTGTCTCTTTTCTCTTTGCTCTCTATTCCTTGGTGGATTTAATTATTACATCCCTGTGGTTGATCTCTACATCAATGCTGATCTTACCTCTTTTTCATGTCAAGCTCTAAGTTAGGTTGAAGGGTAGCTCAAATGTACTATGTTCCTAGTTCAGTTAATGAATCAGAATCATCTTCAGCTCATCTTGCCTCGTAGTCCATGCCCATTCAGTTGCCATATAGCTTCTACTTGTATCACTACCTTTCACTCTACTCCCAGATGTGCTCTGTTCAAGACTCCATTACCTCTTTCCTGAACCATTTGCAATGGCCTCCTAAATTATTTCTTTGCCACCAAACTTTTCTCTACGTTGCTTCCAAAGTTGGCATTCTAGGACATCGGCAAACCCTTGAACACCACATCTCTCTTCACCCATGCCTTACCCTTCAGTCCCATAAGAATCTGATAACTCAGATTCTCATGTTATATTCTTTCTGTGCCTTTGCTTTTGTTATCCTCTCTGCTATCCTACGTTCTTTGTTCAAAACACCCACTACTTATTAAGTCTTGAGTCACATCCCATCTCCATAAAACAGTCTAAAACCTTCCAGTCATTAGAAATCGCCGTCTCCCCATTTCTTCCCCGTATTCTGTCTTTATTATTATGTTTTTCACAGTCTATGAGGTTTTGTTTTTTAGACTTTTTGCCTGTTCCAAAACTCAGCACCGTGCTTCTGCTGTTATTGATGCTTAATAAAAGTTGAATATGTTACTTGTCCCTTATTCCTCCAGTTTCCTTATTTATAGAGACAATAATCTGTTCCTTTTATTAACTTTTACATGGGTGCGAGGTTCATTTGTGTACAATACTTAATTTTATTCCATGGACTTGCATCAGTTCCATCCTGACCCCTCTTCAGTAGTGCTAATGATGAAACCGGCTAAATAAATAATAGCTGTGAATTGTCCTTGACCCTGGCATAGAGAACAAGACAAGCTAAAGGTCATCACCGATCATCCGTGATTTGAAGGCTGGAAACAAAGAAAAAGAATTTCAATTATATTAAAATGTCGTCAAGTCAATTATTAGTAATGGATTACCAGCAGTAACAACAGTTTTCTTTCCCTTGGATGTTCCAAGACTTTGTAACAAGATTGACTATCAACTATTATTAAGAAACAATGCACTTGAGAAATACTGATTTTTAAAAAAATGTTTAGCATTTTCTAGGTTTCATTTTCTTGTTTATTTTCAAGCTTACATTGCTTTCTAAGAGTGTACAATAAAGACCCAGAGCATATTCTTTTTGATTTACTAAATAATAAACAGGTTTTTTTTTTCTCTTTTGCTGACATTCAATTTCTCACCAGTAGTTGAGTCCAATTTTCACTAATCTCTACACAATCATCAGGAAAAAAGTTGGTGAGGGCTAAAACTTTGCAATCAACCATGTACAAGGTGGAACCCATGGAAGTGAAAGAAAAAGGTATTCAAACGAGAACCAGCTTTAACCCCTTCATGGAAATAATACTCATTCTTAGCTAGCTGGCCCTTTTGGGATACTGGGGGGGGGGGGGATATTCACATTTCTTCTTTTTAAAACTGCCACATTATTTAAAAACCCACATAGTGATCAAAAGGGTTTGGGAATTAATCGAGGGAAATCTCAGTGTGTTACACAGGGAGAGAAAACTGGGGGGAATTGTCAAGGAGAAAAAGGATATGGGCTTTTAAAGAATATGGGAGGGCCCTTCCTGGTGGCACAGCAGGTTAAAACACAGCACTAAGAAGCTAAAGCTTCAACATTGAGTTAGATCCCTGTCCTGGAGGTGATCCACATGGCACAGCAGACTCTCCTGACCTGCCCGCTGCTCCCCTCAGCAGTCCACCTCCTCAGTCAGCCTGTTCTGCTCCCCACTATGTCTCTGGTGAATCCTCTCACCACTCCTGTACCTCTGACCTGTACCCCAGTTCTGTATGCATAAAATAAATAAATAAATCTTTAAATATATATATATATATATATAGGAGAAGGTTTTGATGTGTATGGTCCAATACCAAAGGTAAAAAGAACTATTTATAAAATGGCCTTAACAGTTAAGAGTTTGTTTGCACAGCCTTGCAGCTTATGTAAATACCTATCACCTGGTGTTCTCTTTACTTTTTTGCCAGGATGGATCAGGCTTTAAGGACAAGTGGTTAGAATCACATGGACTCACAAACATAAGGAAGAGTGAAATAGTCCAGGAGACTGAGACCATCTGTATCCAGAGAGCAGCAGTTGCCCCTCAATGACTTAAATTCTTTAGTAGGACAGATCCAATTACTCCTCAAACTCTAGTGTGGAATTTGGGAGGAGTGCTTTTGTCATTCTTCAAATAGTTTTTCCTGTCATTGGATAGTGTATGGAATGCACAGAACACTTTTCTTCATGAGAATTCAGTCTTGTAAACATCAAATAAAAACAGTACTTATTCAGGCAAGTGCACGGGATTATGGTGATGGCACACAGGTGACTTGGTGATAGGAAACCCGCGGGAATTACAATTGAGATGGCAAAAAAAAAATGTACAAAATGATGTAAAAATAAACTGTTATGAAATAAAAAAGAAGAAGAAGAAAAAGAAAAAAAAAAACAGTACTTATTCTTGGTTCACAACTAGGAACTTCACAGCCCTAGAAAGATGTCCTAAAGGAACTCTGCACAGTCTTATGGACTCCACCCCCTACTCCAGCTTTCTGGACTCTACCCCTACTTCCAGTGATTGGAAGTTACAACTCCCAGCAGGACCAGGAAGAGAACTGTGAGGACCCAAGGGCGGAGCTAGCAGGAATTCTGGGACATTTGGGGGGTAAATAGGGTGTGATTGCATCTCTCGCTCTATCGCTTGGGAAGCAGCTCTCCTGACCGAGTAACTAGGTGTGTTCAGTCAGCCTAGCCGTAAGGTATTCCACTTTGTATCCTGCTCTCTTTCCCTGGGTTGTTTTCTATTCCTTTCCCCTTTTGTAAATAAACCTGTTATTGACCCTTTTGTGTGTGCCTGCAGTATAACCGAATTGTGAGCGTGCAGGTGAGACCCCACAGACAGGCGGCCCAGTCCACTCTGGGCTACCCTGTAAGAGATGGAGTGGCTCAGGCTCTTTGGCTTCCCCATGGCCAGCCTTTACAGTAACCACCTGAGGCCTTGTTTTCCTCTAGGTTTCATTGCCCACACGTGAGAGTGTTATTGTAAAGTGGCACTTGGGAGCGTGAGCACAGGGCATGCACAGACATCTGGTCCCAGAGGTGTAAGAATGGGGCTCACACACCTATGATTATAGAAAACTGGGCCAAGAAGCCTGAGCACAGGCACTGAACCCTGTAAGTACAGATGCCCAGACCAGAGATCATTAGGAGGACAAAAATTGAGAAAGAGAAAAGAAACCAGGAAGAGAGCCCAGAAGTAGTGGGGGCTGAGATGTTCAGGTGCTGCCTGTCTCCCAGCCTCCCAGGCTCCCCAATCCCAGCTCCCAGCACCTCTGCCCACTCCTTCCATGCCTGTTGCTGGTCTGCCTGTACCTGGTTCCCTGCTTCAGCATTAAAGGCCTGTTGAATCTACCTAAGGCTTTTATACACTCCTTTACACATTCATTGGAATCAACCATGAACCTGTCCACCCTGGTCATGGCAGCCTACAGAGCTCAATAAATAGTAGCCACTGATAATGCTCATTATTATGGGGTAGAAAGAAGTTATCACTCAAAGAGGGATGTAGCTGTTCCATAGCCCCCAGGGTCCTGGTTCTATTCTCA